GTCTATGTGGTCAACCTGACCAACTACATAACAACAATAACCTATGCCCTCCACTAGGACTAGCATGTCACAAAATCAATATTTGGTCTACTTTGTAGGCTAAATACAGCTACTCATCTTTTCCAAAATTATTTAAAGCTTGCCATTCAGTTGGAATTTTATGTGGATCTACAATTCTTAATGCATGATACAAGTTAGAATCTGGAAATCAGTTTCGTAAACTTGTAATTATATTAGTTGCATATTGTGTTACAAATAATAGAAGTTCAGATATTGATATATTTTTAGTAATTATATAATTAAGAAGCTACATGCCAAGTTGTGGTAGATGACCTAGTGAACCAATAAACTCTGTTGTAATACTTTCAATAGCCATAGATAGTTGAGCTTTGATTTCACCAAGTGAAACATAATTTGATTGAAATATATTAATTACTTTACGTAAAATATAAAACAAATCTGCTAAAAAATAAGTAACAATAAAAAAATCTTGATCCATTGCATCATATAAATATAGTGCAATATTAGTAGATTCTCTATTAAATGCTTCTTTAACGTCATCTAATATTTGATATAAATTATTAATAACATTTGCCTATGATAGCTAGCATGTATTAACAATAATTAAAACAGATAAAAATTCATAATGCATATTTTCATATTGAACAATACGCAAATTATTTTTTCATTTATAAGAAGCTGACCAATAAGTATATATTCCTTTAACCACTGCTATATAATCAGAAAAATATTGTAAATTTTTTGATGCATCTTTAGCGCTAAATGAAGATGATGAGAAATACAGTGATTAGCTGAAATAAAAGGATTTTTGCGCTTTAGTTTTGCACCTAATCTATTATATATTCCTAAAAATTTAATAAGTATAATTAAAATATGTAGTAATAATTATAATTGGATTTTTTTTATAAGCTATTAATTAAAGCTAATTAGAAATAAATTCTAGTTAGTTACTAGAATTTATTTCTAATAAACTTTAATTAATAAATAGCTTACTAGTCATATTACTTGCACCATCTGAACCAAAATGAATTAAATGAGTTAAATTAAGTCCTTTGGCAATACAAAATAATTCTAAATCTGTTAAAATTGCTTCTGCTGTAGTTTCATTTAATAAAATCATTCCAATATAGTGTATTACTAGAATATTATTAGCAAAATGCTTTGATACAATTGCAAGTTTTTTCTCATTAGTAATTGTATTAGATTCATCAAGAAGAATATTCCAAAATAGTGAGCTATTATTTTCTGAAATAGTATCTTTCTCGATTATATATGCTAATGATTCTAACATTTCACATCCAGTAATAGGATTTTTATAAGTAGTATAATTTAACTCATTAGTAGAATCTAAGCTATTATTTTCTTCTAAGTGAAGACAAGGTAGATTAAGAGTACAAGGTGAATTTTGATAAGTAATTTCATTATAATTTAGATGTGTAAAATTTACTAAATTACAAAAATCAGGAAAAATATTAAGAGCCAAATAGTGTTTTGATAAAAAATATATATTGCGCATGTTTGCTAAAGCTTTTGCTTTTGTTTTATCATATTGAATTGTAAAACTACTAAATAAATTTTGCTACCTTATATCTTTACCTTTAGCAGCATTAATATGATCACAAATTTTAATATGACATGTTAAAGACTCCTCTTTAAGCTATTCATATTCTCCTTGTACAAAAGTATTTTTTGCATTAATCTCTTGACACTATATACAAAATATCCGAATTTCCTCATCTACTACTTTATCTTGAATCTATGGATATCATTTTCACCATATTGAATTAAAGCGTAAGTTAACTTTGGTGAGTCGTTCATACTTAGGCTTTTTAGCTAACTCAGACTGCTTAATAACTGTAAGGCTAGCTTATATATCAAGCTCTTGAGTTTTTTCTTTTTCACTAGATTTATCAAGACGTATAATATATTTTTCTATTGCATAGTAGTATTATAGATATGAGATAAATTCAAGAATTTAGAAAGTAAAATTATACGAAATAGTTTATAAGTTTACTATATTAGCTTTATTCTTTATTAACTACTTTTATATATGATATCATTAATAATTATTTAATATCGCAATAGCATGTTTCAATATACAATTATAAGATTTTCTTTATTATTATATGAACCATATAATGCTTATTAAAATAAAATATACTGATCTCGATTATTGTTGCTGCATGAATTTTTTGTTACTTATTATAGTATAATTATTCTTTTTTTTAAGGTTTATTTATAATTACACACACTATACATAGTTAAATATTATTATTATTATATTTAAAATTACAATAGCATGTTTCAATATGCAATTATAAGATTTTCTTTATTATTATATAAATCATATAATGCTTATTAAAATAAAATATACTAATCACGATTATTGTTGCTACATGAATTTTTTGTTACTTATTATAGTATAATTATTCTTTTTTTTGAGGTTTATTTATAATTACACATACTCTATATAGTTAAATATTATTATTATATTTAAGTCATGTACTTGTACATATGCGATTTATGATTATAATAATTATAAGTAAGTATTATTATTATATTCAATGTTAATAATAATTAAATAATCTCGATTTGGTATAGTCTAAAGATTCTAATATAATGTTTTAGATTATAAAATTATTGAATTAGAGATTGTTTTACATAGAGATTAAACCTATAATTATAAAATTATTAGAGGTTAAAAAACTTTATTATATGTAATATTTTTTTTTTTTTTTTTTTTTTGTTTTGGTTTGTTTTTTTTTTTGTTTTGTTTGTTTTGTTTT